GAAAGAGAAAGAAAGAAAGAAAGAAAGAAAGAAAGAAAGAAAGAGAAAGAAAGAAAGACTGACTGACTGACTGACTGACTGACTGACTGACTGACTGACTGACTTTATCTTGGCTGGAATCTGCTATGTGTAAGCTATGTCCTCAGCAGCTATGCTTAGTCAATGTAAAATAAAGGTTCCCTCAGGTTAAGCTCAGCTCTTGAATGCATCTATGATTGATTGATTTAAGAATAAAAGAATGAATGAATGAAAACTTTTAACCTGCCCAATAGCTAAAGGGGTCTGGGTAGTTTACCATGAAACACACACACACACACACAAAAAAGATTTAGAATAAAAACATTGACAATAAAATCAAATAAAATGCAAAATGAAAACACCGTATAGACTAGGCAATGGTAAGGCGAGATTCAAAATCTAAAACAATGTGCATTAATATGCAATTAAAAGTCAGTTAAGCCTGGGAAAATAGAAAGGTGGTCACCTGGCATCAAAGTGATGCTAATGTGGGAGCCACTTGAGCCTCTCTGGGGAGGGAATTCCATAAACGGGGTTTCACCACAAAAAAGCTCTCCCTCTTGTAGAGACTCATCTCACCTCCGTTGGTGAGGAAACCTGGAGGAGGATCTCTCTGAATGATCTTAAAGTCTAAATAGGTACATACAGGAGAAGGAGTTGTGGTCTTGGCAACAGAACTGATGTGGCTTGCCACTGCTTTCCTCCAGCATGTTCTCTTTTTTGACTTTTTTAGTTTTTAGTCCACAGCCATGTTATTTCCTGGCAATCTTCGGTCCAAGGATTCACCAGCTTTGATCTTGCTTAACTGTTCAGAGATTAGTAAAGACCAGCTAGTTGTGCACCTGCTATGATTTTAGCTTGTCTACTTAGACATCAATGCTAGTAAGTGTCTACTAACTTCTCATCTCTGAGCATAGGATAGGTATGAGAAGTGTTTGAATGGAAACAGCTAGGTCTCTGTTTGGAATATAGACCAATAAATGTATGAGTAAGCTCTACTGAATATGGGGAGACTCAGTTTCTGGGTCTGCGGAGAGGTCAACAAAGTCAAGATGATGGCTGTGACCCTGCGATCAAAGCACCACCCCTATTTTACATGCATCACATGCACAAAACATTAAAGAGGGGCAGGGCTTTGCTCACGGTTGTGGCCACTGTATTTCTCATGAACATTTATGAACTGGAATTTGGCTTATTTTGCAACCTCTTGTAAAGGAAACAAACATTGGTGGGTTATCTCTAATGTGATCCTTTCACTGCTGTTTTTACAGAAAGTCTCTCAGCAAAGGTTCTACAAGATCCAAAATGTCAGTAAAATCTGCCAAGATGTATTCTTCCCTGCAAAAAGGGACTGTCCTCTGCGATCCCAAACCACAACAAGTGAAGAAGGTTTTTGAAGCTTTGAAGAAAGGGCTTAAGTAAGAACCATTCCCAAACTCAATTATGTGCATTTGGGGAAATTTGCAGTATTTTGTTATAGTTTAGTGTTTATTTAATTCCACCAGAACGAGGTTAGAATGAATAAATTCATTTCAACAGTGGGGTCACCTGTAGTGAGTGAAGTCAATTGACATAACTTGATTCCCAGAAAATTAAAACATCCAAAAAGAGGGGGACCACCCCAGAAAGAGGATGCTTTAGTTGTTCCATGTTTAGCTGCACTGATTGGCCTCTTTCTTTGCCAGCAAGCTGGGAACAAGATGCACTTTTGTGGCATCTGGCCATGTGCAGTAGGGTCATGCTGGAAGCTTTGCCTCACATCAGCATTACAATGCAGAGATGTAATGGTGGGGCTTGACCAGTGATATCACTGAGGGGCAGGGCTTACCATACTTTATAAGGTCCTGTTTGATATGGACACCCTGATGAGATTGTCCAGGCAACAGTTTTTAATCCAACACACTCAGTGTGTGTGCGTGCATGTGCATCTAACAATGTGCCAGGTTTGGCTCAGCATGCTCATCCATGGGTGCTACATTAAATGGCATTATATGGTAGTCCTTCGGGTTCAAAGAAGACACACTCTTGTGCAAATCATCGGTGGGGAGAAGGAAATGCAAGGGTCTCATGCAAATCTGAGACTCTGATCTTAGTGTGATGGAAGGCTGAGCTTCTTCTCATCTTTGTGGTATCTTCATTTGCTATTCTGGTTTGCGTCTACCAGAATGTTGAAATCAGTAGAGACACTGTGGTTGCAGTACCTCGATCTTGTAGGCAGTTCTGTATTTCAGCTCTGTGTCCAGAGACTGGAAGGAAAGTTAACCAATGATTAGCCTTTTCTAGCCTTTGGGGAATGTGCTGCACCATGGTTAAGCTAAGTAAATTAAAAACAAACAATGGGTACTAATAATAATCAAATGGGGGACACGGTGGCGC